TTGATAATCGGGTAGGGACGAAGTACTGATCAAATTCCAACCTGGCAGCTTTTGAAATTCATACCGACACAGTTTAAATGACAAAATGAAAAGGCTAGTAATAGAAAGTCTGATCTAGGCATAGGTCATTTGTCACAGGCAATTCAGAAATATGGACCCGGTTGGAAGCCCAGGAACACAAGGGAAGAAAAAGGCAAAATGGGTTGAGCACATTGGGACAAGTAAGGAGGTCAGGAATAAAAGGAGCACAAAAGTCAAGTGACTCTAGCAGCCCAAGAAGAAAAACCCAACCCAACAAGTAAATCCTACTATCACCGTCGGATGTGGGGCACCAATGAGTAAAGTGGAAGCTTCGAGAAGTAATATCGAGATAAGGAATGAAGAGGTCACTCCGGCGGTGACTCAACAGTGAACCAGGGAAGGATGAAGATGTTGATGGAGAGAAGCAGGGGGAAGAAGCTTCATTGGCTCTCGTTCTGTGTGAAAGCACAGGGGAATAGGAGTTTTTGGTCGAGAATGAAGGTGTGTCTCAAACCATTATTCTATCTTTAGGTCTGCAAATAATGTTAGTGTTGGAGGCAAAGTACGGCGAGATTATCTCAAAGGGCCTTCTAGTTAGTAAACCCGCGACTACAGATCAACGCGCTTTTGTCAAAGCAGAAAGTGAAGCATAACTATATTCCACATAGGTTCTGAGGAACATCCAGCATATCAGTAAATTCTTGGGGTTCTTTTTCAAAGGCTTCCTATAATACCGGGACCCGAAATTTAACCTGAGATTAATTTTAAAAATTAAAATTAATATATAAAAATATAATTTTTAAATTTATAAATTTTTATTTAATGTAAAAATTTGAAAAAAATAAGTGAATGATGAAATTAAAAACAATTTTGAAAAAAAGATGTGAAAATTTGGGTTCGAAAGGTATTTTTGGAAGAAAAATCAAAAACTAGGGGTCAAAATACAATTTAGAAGAAATGTGTCACGTAGGACGGTCAGTCAGCAGCCCCGACAAACCAGAGCACGTCGCGTTACAAGGCACACTGACTCGGTGCCACGTGGGAGACCCCGCTGGCAATCCGCATGCCCACAATCGGACAGTCCGGATTTGTTCCCGCACGCGTAGACGATCGGAATCCGCTCCCTCCTCAGGCGCGATCGGACAGTCGCGATTAAAAGTGAATAACGGCCCAAATTCGTTCCCTCTTTAAACGCGATCATACGGTTAAGATCAAATCGCGATGAACGGTTTAGATTCATTTCCTCTTTAAACATAATCGGACGGTCGAGATCAAACGTGATGAACGACCTAGATTAAAGAGAAACAGGTATAAATATCTCACTTCACACCGAACCCTAACCCTAATCGCCAGCCCCCCCGCCGGAGAAGAACCAGTCACCGGAGAAGGAAGCTAACTGCCGCCCACCACCGCACCCGAGCCACCTTCGACCGTCAAAAAAAATAAAAAATTTCTCATTCGCTTGAAAATTGATTTTGAACAATCCCATGGCCAAATCAGAGCAAAATGACCAGCGGATGAGCCAAAAACCGCGAGTAAAGCCCGACGGCGGCCTGCAGAAAAAGCCAAAAATCGCCTTCGATGATCCCCTTCCCGATTTCCGTTTTGTGCGATTTTTCTACCATTGTATTCATCATTCTGTTTCCTACAGGTTGACCAAAGAAAAACGCCCAACCGCAAAGGTGAGCTGGCGGAGCTACTACACTGAAAAATCCTGCCGCTGGTAACTTTCTATTTTTCGACTTTTTCGACCAAACG